CGAGTGGCCCAATAACTTTTTATTCAGTCCATAGTTAACACGGGCAGCAAAAGCTCGAGTCATTGAAGCTAAGAACGTCCATGAAAATTCCAGTATCTGCATAATGAAGCCGTGAAACATTTACGTGTCGCTTGAGGGTTCGACACCACAGTCAAAACAAGCGCCCCCAAAACCTGGCAAAATAATAGCCAAGACTTGGGATTTGAGTAGAAAACTGACGAAAGTTTACTTCGTGTTAGCGGTGTGATCAAAATTGTATGGAATCTTTCCTTTATTGTGCATGTTTTAGGCGATGAGCTTTCAAATGTTACTTGGGGTATTGAGTAAACTTTTTATTCAATATAAAGATAAATGACAGACCTTGTGACCTTGTGATGAGTTCGGGACTTTCTAGTCCCCGGTCACGCTGATGCGCCGCCTTCGTCGTCCTCCGTCTCCGAGTCGTCGCTAGGCAGGTCACCCCGCCCTCGGGCCCGGATGTAACGTTGGACGTGTGGACATTAATTGGCTATTGTACATTAATTGGCTATTGTACATTAATTGGCTATTGTACATTAATTGGCTATTGAACATTAATTGGCTATTGGATATTAATAATTGGTGGACATTAATTGGCTATTTTAAAAAACCTATTCTCTGGAATGGGTAGGAAAAATTTGGTGCGATTGGGGCGTTCAGAATTGCTTGCAGTTTTGTAAAAATGAAGCTGGACTTATGCGTGCGATGTATGCATACTTTTGCGCTTGAGTGGAGTATGCGTACAGGTGCGCTTGAGTGGAGTATGCATACAGGTGCGCTTGAGTGGAGTATGCATACACGTGCGCTTGAGTGGAGTATGCATACACGTGCGCTTGAGTGGAGTATGCATACAGGTGCGCTTGAGTGGAGTATGCATACACGTGCGCTTGAGTGGAGTATGCATACAATAGCTTATGATCAAGTTGCATTGGATTGCTCATTAAAGTGAATGGTGCGTGAAGTCCATGAAAATTGTATTCTCGAGGGAATGAGTCTGAGGTTTAATCTTTGCATGAATAAAATGTGTTTTTATATAGTACTCGAATTCATTTTATGCGCTGCATAGGCCTTTAACAGGCGAACGAATTATTATTCGGAATTTTCAATTGCTTGTTGCTTTGACTGTAAAAAAATAGACTAAAGTATAGACCGTACACATTAGTTCTTAACATAGACTGTATATATTAGACAATGAATTGACTGTGCACTTTAGATCTAAGCATTGACTGTACATATTGAACTAAGAAATAGTAGACTACATATCAGACTAGCATAGACCGAATGCATTAGACTGTAGCATAGCTTTGTATCTTTGAGTTTATTAGGCCAAAATCAATTTTTTTCAGAACCTAAAATAACAAAAAAATTCTAAACTTCTATATTTATCTTATAAGAGCCACGGAACGAGGGGACAGATATATAAGAATTATCAGCAGTTTATTAGTTTGCTCCGCCGTTGACTTATCAGATTAATTGAATATAAATAATTAATATTAATTGAATTATTAATTGAATTATTTATATTAATTGAATATAAATAAATAAGTTGTTGAGGACAACTGCCTGTAGTGACACTGTACGCTGTTGCCATAAGTTTAGACAGGCTCAAATATTATTATTTCTTCTAAAATTCTAAATTAATTTGGAAAATGATTGGTATGAAATCTATTATAAACTTTATTTAACGATTATAAAGATATTTGGTGAACATTTTCATTAAATTTATGTCTATAGAAGTTCAGAGTAAAATTAACCATGATATGTTGAAAATTTGACATCACGTCCAATAATCTACGGATAATGTACAAATAATTCATCGCGGTATCATTTACTTATTTATTGTAGGAGGAAATGGACAGCTCTTGCAAGCGACAGGTATACTGCCAGGTGGTAGAGCGATGGTAGATGATCGAGCAGTGGTAGATCAGACAAATGGTCGATCAATGGTAGATCAAACAAGTGGTCAAGAGATGGTTGATCAGACAAGTGGTCGAGAGATCAGATCAAGTGACCTCGAGCAATGGTAGATCAGACAAATGGTCCAGCAATGGTAGATCAGACATGTGGTAGAGAGGTAGTTCAGATCGAGTGATCTCGAGCAATGGTAGATCAGACCGAATGATCGAGCGATGGTAGAGCAGACAAATGATGGAGCAATGGTAGATCAGACAAGTGGTCAAGAGATGGTAGATCAGACAAGCGATCGAGAGCTGCTAGATCAGACCGAGTGATGTTAACACAAAAGTCTCTAATTTATGTGTGGATCCCTACTTTTCGTTCAAATTCGTTTTTTGTAATGATGAACTTAGTCCACTCTGCTCTTGAAAATACCATTATTCTCAGCAAAATATAAATAACTTTTTAGCAAGGAATGATACAGGGAATTTTATCCCCCAAAATTCTAGTCTTACTTTTATTGCAATCGAACTTCAAACTTTTTATTAATGAAAGCTAGTACACATTTTGGGCATGACTGGAATGTTTTGTACATATTTTCGCTTACTGATACGCGATTTATCTCATAGTAATTTTATAATATTATTAATACTTAATGATGAATTAATTATATTAAATATGGCGACTGAATTAAGGCTTCTAATGATATATTTTTTGGTTTCTGTGTTTATCAGTTCACTGCAAACATCTGATGCCTGCAATTGAACTTAGACAAAATGATTTTTTTTAGCCTTTACAGCGGGGTTTGTTTTTTCATTAAAGTGAACGATAGCATCTTAAACTCAAACATAAATGTTTTACTTGAATTATAAACATCGAAATTTAAACTTAAACGTAAATTTTTTTACTCCAAGTACAAAGATCGCAACTTAAGCTCAAACGTAAATGTTTTTAATTGAAGTGTAAACATCGAAACTTAAACATAAATGTTTTTACTACAAGTATAAACATCGAAACTTGAACATAAATATTTTTATGTGAAGATTAAACATCGCAACAGGAATTAACTTTATGACTTGTTCAACTACTTACTAAATCATAAAAATAGAACACAAAATACCGTTTAACAATCGCCTGCCTTTGCTTGCTCGCTCATATCAATAAAACAACAGGCTAAGCATGTTTTTCTATTTATTTTGAATGATCGATCGCGTATTTAAATGATCATGCATTTTTAACTCCAAACATTTTCATTTAACATGTGACTTTCCTAGAACTTATGGAACGAAACGCTTTTTAGAGATGATAAAAAGTCAAGTATATAGAAATGTTTTGCCTTTTTTTCTAAATTTCTCGCACAAAGTTCATTAATAAAACTACTCTTTTCTGCACGCGAACGAAGCTAATTTTCATTCGAATCTATTCAATGAATTAGTTCAAGTTATTGTTTCAATTCAATTAGTTCAATTAGTGATTCATTTTTTCTCTAGAGGGGGGAATTATTTTCTTTGATTTTAATTTTTCAATTTAATTTGTTCAATTGTTCAATGAATTAGTTCAATTCGCAGACCAGAATCATTTGTCACTGCAGTCTATAACAACTGTCATGGCGCCCGTAAACAAAACTATCGCGTATATTTCAGAACAGTATTATCACACTGAAAAATGTATGGTACAAAATATAGAGGTTATCCACGCGACCAAATTATCCGGATATCGGAGCGACAGTTTATATGTTACAAATTGCCTTCTATGAGTGATGGTTAAAGTTATTTATAATTTTTTGGAATTGGGAAAACCATAACCATATTAAACCATAACCACAATCATAATCATCTTAAACTAAAAGCTACAGTTGGCAGGAAATTTTAGGTTAGTTGCTTTATAAACTTAGCATTAAATATCATTATGTGTGAGACACATACTCGTACACACAAAATTATTGATCGCATTTTGAGTAATGTTGCCAATGATTCTTTTTGTATTGCAGCCTCCATTTTATTATAGGATGCTTAAGTGAATCCCGGCATCAAAATTTATTTGTCGTCATCTACAGAAACGATTTAAGTTTCTGAAATGGCTTTTAGAGATGAAACTAAGTCATGTATATAAAAATCTATTGCCAATTCTAAATTTAATTTTATGATTTTAATTATGATTTCTGCAGATGACATGCAGCAATGCATATACTTTACTCCAGTCATATGGACTTTTTTATTATATTATATGCATATACTTCACTGTAGTCACATGGGCGTTATTTTTATATATTTTGAAAAGGCTCATTATTATATATTTTGGGAAGTTACTCGACTTTAGTGAATAAGTTAAAACGCATGAACATACAATTGTTATATTTGTTCAACCTTCATGCCTCTCAGTAATTCAACATGGCGGGAAACAGGGCATCAAGATAAACTATAAAATTTCTATGATCTATCATAAAAATAAAGAACATCTCATTCACTTAAGTTAAGCTTGGAACGTCTTTGTAGGTTATGTACAGACATACTAGAAATAATAAACGTTATTTTGTATATTTCCTCACTTACTAGTAGAGCTTAATAACTAGTTAGACCTATGAATGTTCAAACAATAACAATAATAATTTCCCTAGATATTAAGCGGGATTTTGTAATTAAAACAATACTGATAATAAAGAATATACGGCGTGATACTTCTGCCGTAAATATTTTATTTAAATTTATTCATTTCTCTTGGGTACTAACGCCCAGAAGCTTCATATAAAACATAAATTTCTGAGCACTCGCCTTCAGTTTAATGTTCAACATCGTATTGCACTAGCTGGGTGAATAAAATCAGTAAGGGCACTAGGCAACATTTTACTGACCTTTTTTTTTTTAACGATGTGCGGTGTCATAATTTTTGTATCAAAAAATATAACTCAGTACTCACTGCAGTGAGTGACAGAGAGCTCATTTTCTCGTCGACGAAAACTTGAGGTCACGGACAGACGGACGGACAGACGGACAGACAGACAGACAGGCAGATGGACATGGCGAGCACAATAGTGAATTTTTTCCATAAATGAGAAAATGCGCTAAAAAGACCAGTTTCCCGTTCAGTCGAGACATATCATCGCCTCGTAATATTTTAAACATTTTAACTAAGGCCTAACAGAAAGAAATAATTTTCATCCCTTCCCTGGCCTAGGCTCAGCGTCCAGTATTGGAATGTGAGGTTTGCTGTTACTTTTACACAGCCTTGTTCTGCCGAGCTCATCCACGACGGTCTGGTAAGTGTCTCTGGTGGACTGCGAGACCGTAATTTCCTTCTCTGAGCCGTCCAACTTGCCATCATTGATATCACCGTCTTCTGCTGGAGGCACAATTCCATCCGCGAGCTCAGTCGACCCTGAGATGCAGCGAACTTCTTCGATTGTGGCGATGGAGGCTTTCTTTTGCAGCTTTTTATGACTCTTGTTATTGTTATTCTTGACAAGTTTAGGCTGTTGTTCTAAAGAAGTTTCCCTGGTCGCTGTCGTCGACATTTCGTGCTCGTTTGTGTAGTAAAAAGCGGTTTGTCTATGATACGCGAAAGCAGCGATCATCACCAAAAATAAGAGACACACGAAGAATACGCACGAGGCGATGATGATGGTGTAGAATCTGTCTTGGATGAGATCGGTGATGGTCCATGGAGTTTCGAGGTCTATGAGGTTGGGATCAGCATGGTCTATATTTGCTGTGTTTTGTCTGGTGAGCTCACCTCTTGGAAACTCTGCTTGAACGACCAAAGAAAAATTGTTGATTCTTTCTGTGGGCTGAAACCTAAAGGTTGGCGGTGGAAAAGTATGGAAATTTTCGCAGGGCGGAAGATCCCCCGGAGGAAGTAGAGCTAATTCCAAGCCTGCAAACCGAGGAGGGCCTAAACACTTCAAACAGGTCCAAACTTTGGGCTCGAGGCACCCCGACTCCTGGTCTGGAGCTCCATGAAGCCAGCGAACAAGAGGGGAAACATGACACTGATCGCATATCCAAGGATTGCCTTGCAGACGCAGCACTCGCAAATGCTCCGCTTCAGAAAGCCCTTCCAGAATTTCACTGCTGAGGCCTTTGTAGCTGTTGGAACTCAGGTCGAGCACTTGCAAGTTTGGGCACGTGATAAAGAGCTCCATTGGAAGACTTGTAAGGTAGTTAGCTGATAAATTCAAATGACGCAAGTTAGAATTGTGCAGAAGCAGGTCAGAAGGGAGGATGGAGAGACCCACGTCACCGAGACCCAGTTCGTGAAGCTTTTTAGATTGGAACAAAGTTTTGTTTAGTTCGGCTAAATTCAACGGGTTTCCTGAGAGCTTCAAAACTTTCAGTTCATTTAAAGTTGCTTGTATTCCATTTGGGTTTAAAAACGTAAGTCTGTTGTACATCAAATCGAGGTGCGAAAGACTGGCATTTTGGAACGCATTTGGTTCTACTCTTACTATCCTGTTATGTGCGAGGTGTAGATGCGTGAGTCTGGAATTTACGAGGGTGAATTTATAAACGAAGGATATTAAATTATTATCCAGCTGCAGGGAGACGAGATATGGCACAGCGTTGTTGAGATCAGGAACTTGGGTGATCTTGTTACCGCTCAAATCCAACACCCGGAGGTCGCTTATCATCGACAACAAACTTCTACTTATGGTCGTAAGGTGACATTCAGCGCATTTCAAAGTCCTTAGCAGGGAAATGTCGGTGAAAATATCAGGATCAAACTTTCCCAATGGATTATGAGACAAGTCTAAAAATTCAAGCTGAGTGAGTCCAAAAAATATCCTCGGTACCAACTCAGGAACTTTGTTGTCGGCCAGGCTCAGATATCGCAGTTGGCGCACGTGTCTGAAGGCGGCTGAAGGCACCGACTCGATTCTGTTGTGACTCAAGTCTAAACTTTTAAGTGACTTTGCACCTTTAAAGTTGGTGTCTCTCAAGCTCGTCAGATGGTTCCAGGTCAGGTTCAAAACTTCTAGATTATGCAAACCCCAGAAACTGTGTTCTCCCAGGTTAGGGATACCAGACCAAGAGATTTGAATTTCTTCTAAACTTCTAAGCCCTTGAAATATGGGTCCAAGACTGAGGTAATTCTCTCTGAACGGTGGTGCTGTGATTATAAGAACCTTTGTGTCATGGGCCATGTCGAAGACTGGAATAACATCCCGCATGTTGCCCTGGAGGCACGTAACTGTACTGCGACCATGATGGTCCACCGAGCAGCGGCACACTGATGGACAAGGAGCTGCCTCCACCTTCTCCAGGACTAAGACGTGGAGCAACACGGCCATCAACATCTTGCCGATCCCGGACATCTTGCACCTGCACAAAAAGAAAATGCGACTTAATAATGCTACTTATTCTGAATTATTTGAGTAAATAATTAAATGTTATCATCCGAATTATTTGTGTAAATATATATTCTCTGGCAAAAATATTCAAGAAGATGGTCGGGCTTCCATCACATACTATGTTGGATACTACGTTACTGCTCTGAAGATAATACAGAGAAAATCCTCGGTATTAATGAAGTTCCCATTTCCACTGAAATTTTAACTGTAAATATCACGCAAATATGAATATAGTAAACAATTAACTGAAATATTTGTATAGTAATATTTAGCGGCTACGAAAACCCTGAGCGACATTGATAATAATCCATGTCATAGATAACGGCTACGGCAGACATTAATTTTCACGGCATTATAATTTAATGCCAGTGTTCCCGAGCATTTGAATTAATAGACTGACGTGAGAGGCAAAGGAAATATTGGGATCTCAGCTCCAATTACACAACCTTACATTTCTCAATTCGTATATAAGTACTTATATTATTAGTCTGCTTATATCGCAAGTTCACAAGGAATTTATGTCTGTCTTTGAATTTTGACTTATAAAATGATTTTATTCGTTTTTAGTTTAGTCGAACTGATGATAGAGCTGGACTCCGAAACGTTTTCAATGTCGATATGGTGAATTTTCTTTGCGTTTTCTTTGCTTTTAAATTCCTTCTTTCTCAATTCAATTTGATGATTGGCAATATTCAAGATAATGAACAAACTGCACATTATATTAAACTATTAATCATTTGTTTTACAAGCCAGGATTATATATTACAATTTCCTAATATTAACCAGTATCTAAAGAAATTTGTCTGTTCATTACGAATGTTTTCTCGGTCAGAAAAATGACCATCAGTGCGACATGCTTCGCGTCGTAACACCTGTCTCTTATAAACATCTAGATGTGTATAAGAGACAGCTGCCGTACACTGCCCGCACAGTNATTAAATCGTAACACAACTCAATTTAATCGTAACACAACTCAATTGAATCGTAACACAACTCAATTAAATCGTCACACAACTCAATTTAATCGTAACACAACTCAATTGAATCGCAACACAACTCAATTAAATCGTAACACCACTCAATTAAATCGCAACACAACTCAATTAAATCGTAACAAAAATCAAGTAAACCGTAACACAAGTCAAATCAGAATGTAACTAAAATCGTAACAAAACACTAAACCGTAACATAACTCAATTAAATCAGAATGTAACCAAAATCGTTACACAACTCAATTAAATCGTAACACAAGTCAAATCAGAATGTAACTAAAATCGTAACAAAACACTATTAAATCGTCACACAACTCAATTAAATCGTTACACAACTCAATTAAATCGTAACACAAGTCAAATCAGAATGTAACTAAAATCGTAACAAAACACTATTAAATCGTAACACAACTCAATTAAATCGGAATGTAACTAAAATCGTAACACAACTCAATTAAATCGTAACACAAGCAATTAACTGCAAATGACAAGAAGCAATGTGTATCGTAGGAGCCAGTCTGAGGGATGACAGTTTATTTATCTTCACTCTGCCCAGGGCCTATACTTTGAAAAAAAGTTAAGAGATCGTAAGTTCATCAGCCAATCATTGACGGCCTTTCAAGCAAAATCCACCAATCATAGACAAGAAAATAGAGCGTAAGTACTTACGTTCACTTAGCGAGTTTTGAAAGTATGGCTCCTGGGCAATTAGGGAGACATGACAACGCGGTACGAATGGTGGCGATGCAAATGCTGGAGTTTATTAACTTGTCGAGGATTGTCTTCACATATAATTACCTTTGTTTGAATTAATACACTTGTGTTAATAATCAATTGTATGTTATAAGTTATTATTAATTTATTGAATAATCCTATTTTGTATTTATTGCAACAGTTTCTTTGGAATCTCAACGTCAATTAATAATCTTGATATTTATTCCCGAAATTAAATTTATCAACTTGAAATTGAAAGGAAATTTACAATTTCTAAAAAAACAGAACTGATGTTAATAACAGAACAAAAAATCGAATTACACAAGAGCAGTGCATTTGTGGACATTTAGTTCTCGTTCAAAATTATTCAAAGCGTTGGTTATATGTCACAAATGATTCAAAATCTATCAAAATTAAAAAAAAAAAACAATCTTCATTTGGTGCACAGTCAAGCGATCGTATACGGGTCAAGCGGCGATCTCAATTAGTTAATTATGCGTGCTTCAAGCAGGACCAAGAGTTAAACAAGTTCAATTTTAATCAATTAACCAAAAACCGTCAGGACAAGCCCATCCGGAGGAGTGGTAAGCCAAATATTGTATATTTTAAACGCTGGGACAGTAATAAGTCCGATAATATATATTGTTGACAGCGGGACAGTGGCAAGCCTAATATTATATATTGTAAACCTCGAGACAGAAGCCAGCCTCATATTATATATTTTAACCATTCCAGATCGTGGCAAGCCTCATATTATATATTTTAAACATTCGAGATCGTGGCAAGTCTCATATTATATATTGTAAACCNTCTATGAACAAGGCACGAAATGGAAAAGAATCGGCGACAGGCCACATCAGGCCTACACTTCAGAGCCGACATCACTATGTTATGTTATGTTATGTTATGATACTGATGGTACAAATAATACAATAAGGACTAGTTCAAGTTTCAAAACACTACCTTCTCAATTATTTTTTGTTGGAGTATTCATCTTGACGTACATTCCACAATAGATCGTACTTTTGGAATATCTTTTAGAACATTTCAATATCATCTGAACACCTCTTGAGGTTATTAGAACCGTCGTTGCTTGGACAAGACATAGTTCATAACATTAGAAACATTTGTTCCAGAGCAGGATACAGAGAGGCACAGACATACACACTACTGTGTATGTACTGTGTATGTAGTGTGTATGTAGTGTGTATGTATACACACTACTGTGTATGTACACACAGGTATACATACTCTAGTATACAGCGCACCTACCGATACTAGACAGCAAATTAAAACAACTTGAACTGCTTCACACGCAAACGCATCAGCTACTTGCATCTGAAGAATAAATCATCACAATATTTGGAGTGCGAATAATCGCAGCTAATACTAGCTCCGTGTATAGGCGTCTCAAGGTTCATAATATGTGAGATTTGTGCTCTATAACCTAACCATAACACCCCTCCGCCCTCCCGCCCCTCCGCGTCGTGCGTCGCACTCCCGCCCCTCCACATCATGCGCCGCACTCCCGCCCCTCCGCNAGCGTGTTCTGAACCCATGACCTCTTAAGCGTGTTCTGAACCCATGACCTCTTAAGCGTGTTCTGAACCCATGACCTCTTAAGCGTGTTCTGAACCCATGACCTCTTAAGCGTGTTCTGAACCCATGACCTCTTAAGCGTGTTCTGAACCCATGACCTCTTAAGCGTGTTCTGAACCCATGACCTCTTAAGCGTGTTCTGAACCCATGACCTCTTAAGCGTGTTCTGAACCCATGACCTCTTAAGCGTGTTCTGAACCCATGACCTCTTAAGCGTGTTCTGAACCCATGACCTCTTAAGCGTGTTCTGAACCCATGACCTCTTAAGCGTGTTCTGAACCCATGACCTCTTAAGCGTGTTCTGAACCCATGACCTCTTAAGCGTGTTCTGAACCCATGACCTCTTAAGCGTGTTCTGAACCCATGACCTCTTAAGCGTGTTCTGAACCCATGACCTCTTAAGCGTGTTCTGAACCCATGACCTCTTAAGCGTGTTCTGAACCCATGACCTCTTAAGCGTGTTCTGAACCCATGACCTCTTAAGCGTGTTCTGAACCCATGACCTCTTAAGCGTGTTCTGAACCCATGACCTCTTAAGCGTGTTCTGAACCCATGACCTCTTAAGCGTGTTCTGAACCCATGACCTCTTAAGCGTGTTCTGAACCCATGACCTCTTAAGCGTGTTCTGAACCCATGACCTCTTAAGCGTGTTCTGAACCCATGACCTCTTAAGCGTGTTCTGAACCCATGACCTCTTAAGCGTGTTCTGAACCCATGACCTCTTAAGCGCTGTCTCTTATACACATCTAGATGTGTATAAGAGACAGAGGTATTGTACTGTACGTACAATGATAACTACACTGATTACTTAACACTGTGATGATGACTTTTTTTTACCCTGTTCAGGTAAATTTTAAATTAATTTTACTATAATATTGTGACATTATTTGAAGTCTTACATGAGCTACATAATATCGACACAAAATAATTTAGTATCCCTGTGAGCGTGGCGGCGAGTCAGGATCTTTTCAGTCGTTCCCGTTGATTGAGACGCGCAGAAAAGCGTTAATAAAAGGCGTCATTATTGCGGCGGTGTAATTAGATTATAATAAAAACCATATTTAATCTTCTCGCATGGCCACTGCATAGACTCTTTAATTTACTGTTTCAAAAGACCTAATTAAAAATTTTTTTTATTAAGGCACTAATGAACAAAATGTTTTTTTCAGTTAATTTGAATGAGCAGAGCTTTTTAACGAAGAGTTCTGATGAATTACGGACTGTGGAATTATCTGTATTCAGTCAATTAATTATAAGATCGTTACTATACTTATAGAATATATAGAACAATATATCCGTCTAATAATAATCAATACTAATAATGATATTCGATTTGCTGGAGACATTTCAAATACCAAGCATATGTAAAATATTCATTTCTAACAAAAATATCCTTGGCTCTTCAATACTTTTTTCGAATAATAGGTATATTATGTATTTAATTTATTATCATATATTTTATTTATCATTTAATGAAGGCCTTTCAAGCAAAATCCACCAATCATAGACAAGAAAATAGAGCGTAAGTACTTACGTTCACTTAGCGAGTTTTGAAAGTATGGCCCCTGGGCAATTAGGGAGACATGACAACGCGGTACGAATGGCGGCGATGCAAATGCTGGGGTTTATTAACTTGTCGGGGTTGTCTTCACATATAATTACCTTCGTTTGAATAATACACTTGTATACAAACTACATACAAACTATACACTTATATAGTTTGTATCCATACTTCACTCAATAATACTTCGTTTGAATAATTCAATATTCAATTGTATGTAATGAATAATTATTAATTTACTGAATACTTCTGTTTTAAATTTATTAAAATAAATTTTTTTGAGTCTCAACGCCAATTAAGAGTTTTGATATTTCTTTCTGAAATTTATTTGATCAGCTTGGAATTAAAAGGAAGCTTGAAATTTTCCAAAAAACGGAACTGATGTTTATAACAAAACAAAAAATCAAATAACACATAAGCAGCACATTTTTGGACATTTAGTTTTCATGAAAAATTATTCCTATCGTTGATTATATATTACAAATGATTCAAAATACCATTCCAGACCGTGGCAAGCATCATACTATATATTATAAACCTCGAAACCGTTACAAGCCTAATATTATATATTGTAAACCTCGAGACCGTGGCAAGCCTCATATTATATATTGTAAACCTCGAGACCGTTACAAGCCTAATATTATATATTGTAAACATCCGGACAGTAGCCAGCTTAATATTATATATATTATATATTATATATTATATATTATATATTGTAAACCTCGAGACCATGGAAATCTCCGACAACATGGCGACATCCAGAACCAACATGGCGACAGTGGCAAGCTGTGCGGTTATTCATTTAAATATTGCATTTAAATATTGTAACCGGATATTGTTGGCGAGTTTGTTTGTGCGCCTTGAAACCGGGGCTCGTAATTGAATAACAAGGGGAGTGGGCACTGCGGTATATACGGAAGATTTGAATAATTATCAGCTTTAAACTGGATGTTAGGAGCTGAAGTAGATGAAGTGATCCTTTAATTAAGTGTGAGGTACTGAAAGGCGTGAAAACGTAAGAAGAAACCGACGTCCATGGCGCTGTGTAAAATTTGAGACCGAAGATCAAATGGTTTCGTCCAAACGTAGACTTAAAATTTGCTTCTGAGTACAATTGCATGAGATCGCTTAACGCGAAACAATCATGAATGATGAAAAACGCTGCAGTTTGTTGATATCTTGAAACTGTTGATTGCCAGAGTTGATAAACTGCCAGAGTTGAGTTCTGGCAGTGATCAGTTGAGTTCTGGCAGTGATCGGGGACGCACGTAGTGTTTGCGGGTCCCAACTTTCTCACTTCTTACTATGCCGGTTTGACTTATCTCGCGAATTTTGTACCGAAACGATTTCAGTGAAAGGTTCAATGTTAGTGCAGTTCAATCAAAATTGTGCGAATAGTGAGAAAAACGGCTAGTACAAGTGTTTTATTCCCGACAAATTCTAGTGCGTGAAACGAGGGCAAGTTTTTGAAAACCCTCGGCGACTGCCGGTAACCCGAGAACAATCGCTGCCTTGACTGCGCTCAGGCCTCGCCTTCCTATACCCTCCCCACCCTCTTGGCCCCTACACCNAGACCGTGGCAAGCCTCATATTATATATTGTAAACCTCGAGACCGTGGCAAGCCTCATATTATATATTGTAAACCTCTAGACCGTGGCAAGCCTCATATTAATTCATTGTAAACTTCGAGACCGTGGCAAGCCTCATATTATATATTGTAAAACCTCGAGACCGTGGCAAGCCTAATATTATATATTTTAAACATTCGAGACCGTGGCAAGCCTCATATTATATATTGTAAACCTCAAGACCGTGGCAAGCCTCGTATTACTTGCTACATCATAAAAATAGAACACAAAATAACGGTTAACAATCGCCTGCCTTTGCTTGCTCGCTCATATCGACCAAACAACCGGCTAAGCATGTTTTTCTTATTTGTTTCGAATGAATGATCATGCATTTTTATCTCCAAACTTTTTCATTTAATCTGTGACTTCCCTAGAATGTGATATTTGAAACATCGGGACCGTGGCCAGCTTACTATTATATATTATATATTATAAACCTCGAAACCATGGAAATCTCCGACAACATGGCGACATTCAGAACCAACATGGCGACATCCAGAACCAACATGGCGACAGTGGCAAGCTGTGCGGTTATTCATTTAAATATTGCATTTAAATATTGTAACCGGATATTGTTGGCGAGTTTGTTTGTGCGCCTTGAAACCGGGGCTCGTAATTGAATAACAAGGGGAGTGGGCACTGCGGTATATACGGAAGATTTGAATAATTATCAGCTTTAAACTGGATGTTAGGAGCTGAAGTAGATGAAGTGATCCTTTAATTAAGTGTGAGGTACTGAAAGGCGTGAAAACGTAAGAAGAAACCGACGTCCATGGCGCTGTGTAAAATTTGAGACCGAAGATCAAATGGTTTCGTCCAAACGTAGACTTAAAATTTGCTTCTGAGTACAATTGCATGAGATCGCTTAACGCGAAACAATCATGAATGATGAAAAACGCTGCAGTTTGTTGATATCTTGAAACTGTTGATTGCCAGAGTTGATAAACTGCCAGAGTTGAGTTCTGGCAGTGATCAGTTGAGTTCTGGCAGTGATCGGGGACGCACGTAGTGTTTGCGGGTCCCAACTTTCTCACTTCTTACTATGCCGGTTTGACTTATCTCGCGAATT